CAGGGGCATGGAGAAAGAGTGGGGGAGTGGGACTGATTGGGTATGGGCTCTTTCAAAGAGCCCATCACTGGCACGATGGGCCAAATGGCCTCCTTCTGTGTTGTAATATTCTAGAATTCTATGAAAATTAGAGTAAATCTAAACCCCAGGTGGAACGTTTCACCTTCAGTGAGTTAACTGGTAGGTCTCCACAACCACCTTAGGAATACATTGGGATTGTTCGGTATCACATGTTCTGTGTAGCAAATGCATTGATGTGCACTAATCACTATTCTGCTTCATTCAGCACATTAAGTCACTTCTAAGTAAACAGGGACAAACTCACAAAATGTAATGAAAGGAGCAGAACAGCTGTTTACCACATTAAAGTCTTTGCTCCCTGAAGCACACAAAAAAGAATAACCCCTACAAAATACATTGTGTAAGCAACGCATTTAGCAAATGATGCATTTACCAAAGGTTTTAGCATCAAAAGAATCGACTGCTTCATCTGATATCTTTAGGTCCAGACAGAGAACGTCTGCAAACATCAGGCATCAAGTGCCAGGAAATTATGAAAGCACAGTTTTCTGGGATAAATTTAAACTCCAATTGCAGGAGGAAGCCCTAATGGGGGTTTGCATCCCTTGGTGGTTGTGGGATCAGTGCATCGATCAATCAATTGCCCACAACGCAGGTAGAATAGACTGACCTAAACCATTGTATCGCTGGAGGCCGTGAACTGCTAATTGACGAGCTTCCTGAGGTGGAAGCAAAAGAGTCAAGTCCCACATCACCCACTGATTCTTTTTCTTGTTCAGCCTTCGGTCTCCGAGAGGCATTGAAAGCTTTATCTTCTTTCAGGGTTAATTTGCTCCTCTTAATATTCGAATAATGTACTAAACACAAACACTGCCTCTTCATGGGACACACTGGTGAAGGTGCCACCTTTCACTTACTGATTTCCAGTCCCTGTATTTGCTGATTTGCCTCAACAGAAAGTCGATTATTTTGCTGAAGTCCAGAAGATAAAAAGAAATGTAGCCTCTGTTTTCCAGACTCTGTCTCAACATAGAACACAGGATGTGTGGAGAGAATGTGTTGGAACCACAAAAAAAGGCAAGGTCAACACAGAGGTTGCCCTTGAACTACTAAACACAAGTTTAACCACACATCAGTGTGGTTAACCTACAAAGGCTAGTTTGTTATATTCTATAAAATTCTAAAAATATTGGATATCATCCTTATCCAACTTGCAAATAGTGCACCCAAGATCTACCACTGCAGTGTGAAGCTCAGGAGGTCAGCGAGCAGAAGAGGGAGCAGGTACTGTTGTGTAATGCTCTTGAAATGAAAAGCCTCAAGACACCAGTAAAGAAGACTTGAAATGAGTGCCATTTTGAGCAAAAGAAGATTTAAGCCCTCGGCAGCTATTACTGCAAAAAGGTTTCATTTTCTAAATGGCTTCTGAATACCTGGATGATTCCAATCTGAATTTCTTGGGGGAGAGAATCGTGATTTGGATTGCTCAGTCATGATTTAGATTGCCACTTCATGACCCCCTGCCTCCAGGCAGAAAGCGCTCTGGTACACTACCCTGCTTGAAGGGCGCTAGATAAATGCAAGTTGTTGTTATTGCTTGTTCCGCCTCACCATCGTCAGGGGAGCCTCCAAGGCACTTTGACCGCTCCCTCTGAAATTCCCTCCTGAAATCTCTTTGCCTCCCCCCTTCCTTCTCTCTGCTTTCAAAATTCAGCCTAAAGATTTACTTTTAGGCCCGGCAGGGTGAAACCTTGGGCAAGTTTCCTTGCTCCACACACCTGATAATAATCCCTCAAGAAAAAAAAATGCATATCACAAGACGATGAGGATAATTGGTAAACGTAAAGCTAGGCATAACCTTAATTGACAAGTTATCATAAATTATAAACTTGAAGTCATCAGCTCCTTCCTGAGGATGTGCTTTGTGCACCAGTGACAATTTCATTTTCTCAAACGTGAAAAACCGAAAAGTAAAGATTAGTACCTGTATAATAGCAAATATATCTGCATAACACAAATATTTAAACTTGTTTTTGTGCAATATACAGAAACTACCCTTTTGAACAGTAGTGTTTTCATACTTTATCATGTCTTGCAAATAGCCCTTTGTTTTTGTTCTACATTTCTAACTTTTAGTTTTGTTCTCCACTTCTACCAACACTTGGATTGTAATTTTATTTTCAGAAAGTTTACATATAAAGCGTGGTCAAAGTGAATTGCAGCTTATTTTTCGAGGGTATGTATTCATCATATGTCTCCCCAAAAGCAAGCTAACCACACACTTTTGCATTATTTTTTATGATGTCCTATCTGTAATATTTCTTGATGAAATATAGCCAGTATGGAATTTGACCGACCGTGAGTAATAATTACTAACATGAGTGTTTTTGTTGAAATACAGCTTGAAGTCAGGCATGTAAAGTTACCGGAAACGTTTTGCATTTCTAATTAAGTGTGGGTATAAGTAAAGTAACTAAATTATTTGCTGTATATTGCACAAAAACAAGTTTAAATATTTGTGTTATGCAGATATATTTGCTATTATACAGGTACTAATCTTTACTTTTCAGTTTTTCACGTTTGAGAAAACGAAATTGTCACTGATGCGCAAAGCACATCCTCAGGAAGGAGCTGATGACTTCAAGTTTATAATTTATGATAACTTGTCAATTAAGGTTATACCTTTAATACAAAAGCTTTTGCTTTTGTTTAACAAAAGGAACGTCTGAATAGCCACCTTCATGCAGGAAAATGATTTCTCAATCATTATAGGCCCGGCAGGGTGAAACCTTGGGCAAAAAAATAATAAATTGGTCACTCAATCCACGACGGTTTGTGGGACATTGCTGTGCGCAATTGGTTACCACGTTTCGCCCACAAAATATACAGTCAATTCACTTTAAAGTATATTCTCTGAAGCACTTTGAGATGCCTAGAAGACGTGAAAAGCGCTATATCAAATGCAAGGATTATTATTATTACCTCTTTGACAGCACATTTTGGATGCCAATATAGATCCTGTGTGACAAAAGTCAGTGGGAAAGCGCTATGGGACGCTACTCCACATTAAGGGCATTATATAAATTCAAGTTATTGTAGTTGTTGAATATCTCTATAAGGTTTATTGCTCATTTAAGTAACAATCTACAGTAGTCACTTATATGTTGAGGTTGAACAATCTTTCTTGTGTAACACAAGCAGAAAATAATACTATTTAAAGCACAGCTTAAGGCTGTATAGACACACCGATTTTAAAAGCATACCTTTGCCTCACCCCTTCCTGCTCTCTGCTTTCAAATTCTGCCTAAAGATCTGCCTCTTTGACAGCACATTTTTATTTAGGCATTTCTATGCTGAATGGTCTTATTCCAAAGCATGAACAAAAGAGCAAGGCTCCCTTATCTAGAGTGCCTTTGAAACTGCTACGGTGCCAGACAAAAAGCACAGCGTGTGCAATAAGCAGATTCAGTCTCGGAGAAAGGTACTGATGAATTGACCAATGCCATGATCATCAACAAGGCTCCCAACTATCAACCACAATGTGAAAATATTTGTTTGAAACCAGAAATTGACACCAAAGACTTGGAAAAAAAGGTCAATCAACCGAAAAAGGACTGAAAGCACTACCTGTGAAGTGTAGAACTACGAAAATAACACAACTAACCCTGCAGGAATTAAACAGCAACAAAAGAACTGATGCCAATGAATACATTTAAAAAAATCCAAGAACAAGAGCCTTTATACAACAAGTTTGCAGGGCTCTTGGGAGAGAGCAGGGGAACTTGAATTGGATAGCTCTTTTCAAAGAGCCGGCGTAGACACGATGGGCTGAACGGCTCCCTTCTGTGCTGTATAATTCTATGATTCTATGATTGAACAAGTGTGTGCGGGAAAGGGGAAGAGGAGAAAATTGGGACAGGCTTGAAAAAGCAGTGTTTCTGAGAAGGAAAGCGTTTCACAAATAGCAACTTGGATTTGCTCACATGGAATCATAGCGGGGACTGTCAGTGTGATTTGCTGACCCGTATGATACCCACAATCTGCTCCTGGTGTTTAGGAGTAGGGATACTGCACATCAGCTGTGATGTACTACTGGTTACAGGCAGGATTCCCGCTTAGCAATTCGGAACTTCTATCGGTGAATTTTGTTGTGAACCATTGTCTTTTGGATGCCAACGTAGCTCCTGTGTGACAAAAGTCAGTGGGAAAGCGTTCTGAGATGCTACTCTGTGTGAATGGCACTATATAAATGCAAGTTGTTGTTGATGTTATTGAATCTCTCCATAGAGTTTAGTGCTCATTTAAGTAATGATCTATAGTCACTTGTATGTTGAGGCTGAACAATCTTCCTTGTGTAACACAAGCAGGAAACAATACTGTCTTAAAGCACATCGTAAGGCTGTTTAGACACACTGATTTTAAAAGCATACCTAAGGTGATATACCTTAAGAATTTTCCTTATCACAATAACCACTTTTATATAAAAATAGCAACTAGCTGAGTAACAATGGATTCAGGCAATAATGGATCGTGAAGCAAGATTATATGTGATCACTTAGGGGTTAAAAAAGCCCAGATGAACCAAGCCAGTCAAGATTCAAGACCCAAATAAAATTAAACTGAAAATGCAAATGTGTATTTATTCAGGATTAGCATAATTCATTTTTGATAAATAGCTATTTAGCAATTGCATTTTTACTCCTAAACTAATCCTTTTAGTACTAGATTCCTTTACAGCTCAGAAAATAAACTCTTTTCATCATGTTAAATCCACAATGATACTGTGTCAAACTTCATTGTAAGAACAATGGAAGTTGAAAGGTTTCCTTTATTACTGTACGAGTCTTTGAGTTCAGACTGTATTCTTTTCTACTCTGGAAAACATGTTGAAGTGGAATACAAATCATGAGATCTCTACCAAAAGGTATCACTGATTGATGCACAGGCAGTGGATAATACCTTTCCTTGTTTTGACTAACCTCTGTTAAGTGATGCTGAGCTGTTGATATCGCCAGTGATAAAGGATGACTCAGATTGCTTTCGAACTGTGTCATTCCACATCCTTCGAATTCGGCTCTGGAAAAGAACAACACATAAACACAAATGAGTTGTGAACAACAACAACAAGTTGCATTTATATAGCGCCCTTCACACGGGGTAGTGTCCTGGAGCGCAGCATCACCAGCCCACCACTGATGAAACCTGCTAAACAAGAGCCATGTAAAAACCTGTTGAAAACAAATCTCAGTGGCTCAGTAACAAGAGGACACAAGAGAATGCCCCCTCATAAATTAGGCTGCTGCTAAATTCCTCTTTTCTGAACATTCGAAGCACAAACAAGCCCGATGGGATTTCCCTAAGTCTTGCATAAGCAATAAAATCTCATCAGTTTCAAACAATGAAAACAGTGCTTCACAACAGCTGGACCATAAGACTTGCACCAACAAAATGAGGGGACTAAGAAGTCAAAATGATTGTATTGCGAACTCTTGCCTCACCTTGACAGCAGGTCAAAGGGTCTTACCATATCTAAGACTGTCGTCAAAACTTGTGAAGCATCGTAGTTTAAGCTTTATCCAAGAATTTTCACTCATTTACTTTTGAGAAGGAAGTCAGAAAAACTTTCAATTTCAGGTTCTCTGCCGTTGAAAGTATTACAAGTGGTTATTTGGCTCCACAAAGAGACTAAATGTATTTGGGAGACTCCATGATGATGTAGATTGTTCATTGTCTTCTAGAAAGAATGGGATGGCTTTTCTCATTATGATCTGCTCTGCTGGAGCTTCAGTCCCTATCTCAACATACTGGTCCTCATTGGGAAAGATCAACCTTTAGTGGCAGGGCTTCCAGTGAAGCAGAAAAATTCACTAACACTGCCATTGAGGACTACATTTGGGGGTCCACCTGTGACATGCCCAGGTGCAGTTGACGTGATGCATTTTGAACTCATTGTGAAAATGATTCCATTATTAATGGAAGGTGAAAGCGCTCAATAACTGCAGACCTCTTCAGCTTGAGGTGCTCTTATCTGAGAAGAAAACCACCCACATAAAGAATGCCAAGTACATACTTTTAATCTCTCTATTCAATGGTAATAATAATAATCCTTGCACTAATATAACACCTTATCATGCCTTCGAGACGTTTCAAAGCGCTTCACAGAATATACTGTAAAGTGAATTAACTGTATATTTTTGGGGCGAAACGCAGCAGCCAATTGCACACAGCAGTGTCCCACAAACAGTCATAGATTGAATGATGAATTTATTAATATTTTGATGGAAGAAACAATAATCTGTGCTCTCCGACATAAATTGTGCACAGATGAAAATGGATACAATATTTAGAAACTTGCAGCACGACACACATGGTAAATTTCACATTGAAAGCTCCCATTTTAAAGAGTGGCTGACTTACTTGAGAACCTGTGGAATAGCGTCCTGGAGTTCGAGCACTGGATGTCTTTGCTGATCCAAGGGAGCTGTCCGTGCTCCTCCTGCTGCAGCAGTGTGTGCGGAAACACCTGCCATATTCTTTCCTCACCTAGACAACAAAATGACAACTTATGTGAGAATAAAGTTTCACCCCTACAATGTCCCACAAGACCTGCAGAACCACACAACACATGGATGACTTGAAAATAAACAATTAAGACAACTGCATGTACAGTGTCGTATTCAATTAAAATTGAGTTGCTTTATTCCTTCATCAGAATAGTAACTGCTTTTCAGGACCCAGCTGCCATCAGGAAGATACATTTCCCAGAACTGTAACTCATTCTTTTCCTTGATCTCTTGGACTTTGGAACTATTTTCCTTCCTTGTTCTTCTGTTTCGCTTAAGAGAAGTTTGATCTGTTCTTCTACAAATATATGGTCGCCACGTTTCATTGTAAAATCTTACGAAGCGCTTTGAAGTGTCTCATTGATGTGATAAGGTTCGATATGAAATTCAAGAATTAATATTTTTATTGTATTCCTCCCTCAATCTGCGACCTTTAAAGACTCATGTTTAATGTCATTAGCTACTTATTGATTTATGTAATTTTCTTTCCTCTTCATGTCAACCATCTTAATGTGTACTGAGGTTTCCCAATAATAATTATTTGATTATTATTTGCATTTGATATAGCGCCTCATTACAACTTCAAGATGTCTCAAAGCGCAACTTTTAAAAAAAATAGGAAAAGTCACTTATAGTAATCTAAATTCTTTGGTGCAGTCTTGAATGCATTCCAGTTACAACAGCATTAGTTTTATGTAGGCAATATATTTGGTGTATGTGTCAGGAGCAGATATCAAAAGTCAGATTGCTCCAAAGTCCACAGAATGCAATAATATTCATATTAAACCTAGTTTCTGCAGCTTTGTCAGGAAACAATATACAGCTTAACCACTGGTCAATTCTATGGCCCATTGCTGGAAACACAGTACTCATTCCGTGATGATATTATCTTTCAGAATATCAATATGTGTTTGGTTAATAATAACACCGTAAGTTTTATGTCATCGTCTTCCAACCCATTATGAATAAGACCAGGTAAAAATCATCAGTGTTCTGTTTAACTTTTTTAAACCAGTCAGTATATCAAATATAAACACAGCAAATGGATGAAAGTGAATTCAATTTTAATTGAATCTCTGCACTGAAATGACAATCAAAGTTATCACATAACACTGCAATTAAAGCCTCTGCCATTAATTGTTATCTTTCACATGGCCAAGAGAAAGAGAAGTAATTATTTATTTTTTAATGATTACTTCCAGCCTGAACACAGTAAACAATGCCTCATGAAAGTGCCATGCTCAGTGCACAGAGCCTCACTCAGTCACCACTTAAAAAGCCACCTTTTTTGAAAGACCTGTAATGAGTAGATCACACCATATGACTGTACTAGCATTTGAATTACTATTATCAATGCTCTCTTTCCCCCCCCAACATGTTTCTGAAGTCAGGACACTATTTCTACCATTGATCCATGATTCTCTGTGAAAACAGCAACAAGCAAAATAAACATCCAGGTGGTTTGAAGCTAAGATCAATGCTTATTATCACAGAATCCATCACTGCAAGTTTCTCGCAATAACAAATATCCTCTTGATCTCACGATCACTACTTACACTAGTGAAACGAACGAAGTTACAAGAAGAGCTCAGATCTCAACTCAACAAATCCTTCCTAAGAACTGACTTCCATCAAGTTGTGAAATATACTGTGACTATTTTCATACAATATTAGAATGTTTACAATGCAGGAGTTATTTGGCCTATCATGTATCAATGCATTAGTGCTAGTTTCCCCACTGGTGATTATTGCTACTCTAATTCATTTTTCCCTTTTGAATATTGTTATGGACTCTTTATGTAAACTTTTAATTGTCTATCACTGTCTCTACATACTCACTGTCATCCATATTTAAATCTTCACCTCAACACGTTATCATTTAAATAGATGCAGCTGCTTAGACTTGATGCTGTGTTTAAAATTTATGTGTAGTTATCATAATTTGCAGTCCACGAGAAATTAACAATTCACCAATCATATTTTAACATTGAAAACATTTTTGGATATTCATAAGCCCTGTGAGTACCACATGGGTTTCAGTTTTTAAAGTACAATCAGTAAAATGAGAGGTTCTTGAGTATAAAGTGGAATTAGGGAGACCCATACAGGAATCGTGAATGTTTCTCAATGCATCTCATTCATTAAATGCAGTAAACATTAGAATCTGGAGCTATTCTGCACATTTCTGTCATGAACAGCAATGCTGTACTCTAGTATCTGAAAGCTGAAAACTCTTCAACTCTGTCATGTTTGGTTATGCAATCCAGTATTTGCATAAACAAGAAGGTGCGGGAATTCAATATATAATCTAATGGGGCACAAAATGTACAATAGCCACATTTTACCCTTTACTTGTGCAACGTCCTAAATCTGCTGCAGTCAGCTAATAGTAACTGAGCTCAAAATTTATATTTTCACCCGTTCGTGGCAGAAACAAAAATACACATTCATTACATTGCATTAGGAGGATAATCATTTTAGCCATAAATTTCATGGAGATGGTTTTCCCTTTAAAAATTTGGATCCATAGAAATTTCACTACACTATGTCCCAGGAGGTCCTCGAATGCAGGAGAATTTCAAGCCCAAACGGGTAATGAGAGCCTGATTCATTGTTTTATCTATAAAAGAACAACAACAATCCTAGACAAGCTGTTCAATATGTAGCTTAACTATAGCCACAGAGTTTTGTTGAAGATAGTCCTGTACTATCGAAGGATATTCCCCTTGGGAAAATACCGCACATTTACAGAGACTATACCTTTAAGCCGCTCTCCCACCAAAAGGCATTCATACATTTAGTAGAAATGTAACAGTTGAACCGCAAAGGCAGGTGAGGTCTGATGGCCTTGAGTAAGTACATTTCTGCTTATCAAAGAAAATTTAAAATAACAGCTAAATAGAATCTAGAATGAGCTGGATTTCAGATCTTGATCTATAAGGTCCTCGGGTAGAACAGTCCTCCAGCAACTTCAGGCAAGATTGGATCCAACTCTTAAACCTTGCATCATAGCCAAATATTTTGCATCTAGATTGTTTTTGAATGATAGGTTAATAAAGCATAATTAGAGCAATTATCTGAGAAAACAGACCTTGAATGACTAGCACTATATCTGCACCTTGAAATAGTGTCCTTGAAAAAGGTAAAGCTTCCCAATACAGTAGAAATATAATAATATTTGGTTTGACATAAGATCCATAACATTTCAAAGTGCTTCACAGGAATTGCTGTCAGGCTTAGTTACTGGATTTGTAAGCAAACGTGGTAGTTAATATGGGCAGAGTAATGTTCCCAAAACAGCCTTGAAGTGAATGATTAATTCATCTGGAGGATGGTTGGCCAGGACACTGCGAGAAACTCAATTTGCAAGTAAGAGTTATGGAATCTTTAACATTCACCTTAGATGATTTCATGTCTTATTTGAAGGATGGTATCTTCAACAACTCAACACTCCTCCTAGCAATGCACTAGGGCGTCAGCCTGGAATAAGCATTTAAGTTGCCTAGAATCTTCTTTATTTTTAGCTATACTCTCTATTTCCATATCATCTACAAACTTAGAGATTGTGCCCCTTATACCAGAATCCACATAATTTATCGAAATTCCATTCAATGTAAGCCTTGCATCCTACGCAGCCTGGGCAGAGTTGGTGCAATCCTTGTGGATCTAGGGTCAGTTCTCACACCCCATGTTAAGAGCATTGAAATTGGGTTCACTTATAAATATGACTGGTTTAGGTTTGGGGAAGACGTGTTTTGTCATTGTAAGGCAATGCATGCTTCTTCTATTTCCATCTTTATCAGGACACGGGTGAAGCAGTTGCTTAGACTTGATGCTGTGTTTTAAAATTTCTGCTGATGGAGGAGTAATCATTTGACACCTGCACTGTCCATACAACAATATGAAGTGATTTCCAAATAGAGCTGTGTTGCTATATATTGCAGCTTAAAATAGGTATCTACAATTCAAAGCTGTGAGTTTTACTAAATTTGTCAGTTTTACTGCATATGACTTGAAATTCCACTGAACAGCTTCAACAGGCGTTTGTTCAACTTATTCAAAGCAGAGTGTTCCAACCCCTCATTTTGTGCATCTTTTGTGCTGATACACACAAATGAAATTAGCAATAGAAAACTGATCGCTCTGAAATTGCTATTTCCTGACTTCAGAAGGTTAAGAGTTTAAACCATAAATACTCAAATCTGGAAAGACAATTAAGGATATTTATAGAGGAGGAAAGGTTAATGCCTGCACAAGAATTAATAAACTCTTACTAGACCTTTCTGTCTCCTTATTGAGCAATGAAGCAGTTGATTTCTGCAGTATTGTGATAACACTGAACAAGAGCCATCAAGAGGAAGGACATTTACCCGACTTCCTTTACTTTTCCCCCCAGTCCAATATATTCATAGATATATATATATATATTCCTTTGATAGACAAGACTAACCTTCTTTTGGAGGACACAGTGGAAAATGAATATGAACATTCCCTGCAGCGAGTTGAAAATGGTGAAGAGATATGCCATGATAACTGTGCTGTCGTTAATGAACATAAGTCCAAAAGCCCAAGTTAGTCCAAGGAGGCAAAGGAGTGCTATCGCCCCTATGACCCATGACCTGTAAAGAATAAAAAAAGAGCCAATTAAGATAGTAATGCATTTTTTTTAAACAAACAGTTTGGGTAATCATTTTCTTTCAACCCAAGTTAGAAACGTTTGAACCCTTACTCGCCAAGACACAGACACACGCTCGGATACAACTCCAAGGGCCCTGGATAGCCTTCAGTATCTACAAACCCCTAGTACCTCACCCAAATGGTTGTCCTTCATACCTGAGCCCATATGGGCACCCGATCTATGGTTGGGAGCTGAGTGGGATGGGGAGGGGATAGATAACCAAAAGCGCAATCAAAGCAGTATATTTTGATTTGTGCCTTGAAAGAGCAAGTAGCTGGGTCAGATGAGGTAGCTCAGCATAAACGGGACTAAAAGAGGGAATGTTCAAATCTCAACTGCTCAGTTTCACATCGGGCATTTCCTTTAACAAACATTGAAGCAGCTTTTTAAATTTATATTTAATAGTCAATAGGCTGCTCTTTGCTTCTCAGGTTTGTGCTAAATGTTGTGCACCACATTAGCACTTTGTATTGTGCATCCCCAAATCCATAAACCAATCTTTACAATCTTATTATTTCTTTACCAACCATACATGGAATGCAGAAATTGTGTTTAAATTATTTGGATTTGCAAATGTTGCTGTTTGAAAAGAAATAAATTCAAGAAATGCAGTAATACCTACTGCAATGACTTTTCTGAGAGATGAATCGTTTCCTTAGACCAGCTTTCAAGGTAATGAAATCATCAACCAAGTACGGTTCTTTGAATTCAGGTCAAACTGTGACAATGCCAGTTTTTGAGATGAGTGTTTTTTTGTGAGGCACTGATGCAAGACAAAGGTAAGATACCAATAAAGCAAACATGTGAGTCAAAAAANGACGAGGCAGGAAAGGAAAAAATAAAGAGACCAGAAAATAAAATTGGTCGTTCGTTTCGTGGATGTTTGTGGGACACTGCTGTGCACAAATAGGCTGCTGCATTTGCCTACAAACACATAGTCCCTCCACTTCACAGTAAAGCGCTTTGGTACGTCTCCCTGACATGAAAGGCACCAATTTGCACAAATTGCAAATGTAATTTGTTGTTATTGTTCTTGCTCAGGGTAAGTAAGGCACCATCTGCTGCTGCACTTTCACACACTGGACAATGGCTCAGATCGTAAGAGAGCATTATAAAGACTGAGCTGTTTTAAGATATTTCAAGAAACTGCCCCTAATCATTGGATTCCCACACAACAAACCTGTCTGTCTGTCTGTCTGAGTCATGCTTTTTCACAGACGACAGTTGAACAGGCTCATTGATGCCAGGCAATGCAGGCATAACAGCTCGATCCATGCTCAGCCTGTTGTGGTATTCTGGTATTTTCTGAACAGGTTTCTAAATAAGAAATGTGTAATTACTGAATTTCTAAAACTAACTTGACTAAAACCACAAACTATGTTTAAGAAATGTGCTCATTATGATTTTTTTCTAAGCAATGCATCGAGAATTTTTTTNGAAGGAATTTTTTGAAGGAACCGGGTTCCTACATACTGCTAGGTAAACAGAGACAAGGAAACTTGCCCAACATTTCGCTGTGCCGGGAATAGAACTCAGGTCTCTCGCTTGCAAGGTGAGTGCTCTAACCACTGAGCTACAGGACTCCACACAATATCACACAAGACCCAGAAGTATCAATTGGATGAATGCTGACTATTCAGACTGGACTAATAGTCAGTCATAAGTGAGAGTACCCTCCTTCTCAGAATTCTCTAACCAATGATGTATTAACCCCATGATTGTTTTGATGCATCTTAAATAACAATAGAGCTGGAACTATAACTGTCAGCAAATGGTAATTGTTCAGGACATCCATTTAAATATTTACTTTTAAATTTATTTTGTGTGCTGGGAACACAAAACAGAAATTGCTGATATACAGTGTACAGTGGTATAGTCATTGACCAACACAGACAGGCAAGGGACCAGCAAAAACAGTTACAAAACCTCAGAGATCCTAGCTACTCACAAACACAGATCTTGAAGGTGACAGGACAGGTTGATAGAGATGTTAAAGAAGCATATGGGATCCTTGACTTTACAAATAGAGCATAGAGTACAAAAGCAAGGAAGTTCTGCTAAACCTTTATAAGTCAATGGTGAGGCCTCAGCTGGAATATTGTGTCCAATTCTGGGCACCACACTTTAGGAAGGAATATCAAGACCTTCAAATGTTAAATACTTAGAGGTAAGCCATTTGTCGAATGATTTCTGTACTTTGGATGCATATGTTTGTGCATTAAATCAACCAGGAAGGAATGCAGACAAATAAATTCTGACAGTCCTGGGCTTGGGAGAGGGGAGTGGGAGAGAGAAAAAGTGAACATCTCATCAGACAGAGGTAAATTGGGGGCAGATTGCTACAGAAGCCAGTTTTTGCCACAGAAAGAAGGCAATTGACAAAGCAGACAGGATACTAGCTACACAGTCTGAAGCCAAGTTGCAATGACATCATTAAAACAAACAGTTATCTTCAAAAATACTGTGACCCTTATACCTCTTGCCTTCAAGAAACTGAATGATTCATCCATTTTGAAAGCATATCAGGAGAGTGATATTTTTGGCAATGCATTTACAAAATGGCCAACCATAATCTAAATATGATATTGCGTTATTTTTACTTCTATAAATTTCAACAATCGTTTGTTGGTCCCAAATGATCAACAGAGCAAGGCAGTGAGACAGCATTATGTTGCTTGGTGAAGGAAGGTCACTTAGTTTAACAAAGTGGCAATTGTGACACTCTCAGTCTATGATAGTCCCAGTAATCACTGAAACTCATATCCTGAGATAAATGTATATGAGGAGCAAATCAGCGTCAAGGTAGGTTCAAACATTCCATCAGTGTCTCTGTGACTCTGCAATTCAGCTGGATTCTGTAACTTTTATTAGGTAATGGCAGATGTTTAAATCTCATTTCTCCGCCCTTTCTCTATATCCCCAACCTCTCAAATATCCGTCTATCTCCTGATTAAACTTCCCCATTAATTTGACATTGATGGCCTTCTTGGGCAACGCACTACGCATTCACACCCCGCTTTCTGTGAAGAAACATTTTTTGGTCTTGTTTCTGCCCGGGATAGCTCTGATTTTATGATTGCGCTCCTTTGTTTTGAAATGTTCTCTACCCATGGAAGAGACCCAATCTAGCCTGTTAATTCCCTTCATTATTTTAACCACCTCAGTCAGATAACTACTTAACCTTTTCAGCTCTGGATAACATAACACAATCTTACCTAGCCTCATAGCTAAACTCGCTCATTCCTTGTTAATAATCCAGTAAATTGTCATTGGAAACCTTCCAAGACGAATATATTCTTCCTAAAAATATGGGCCCCAAAACAGAACACAATATTCCAAATGAGGCCTGAGCACTTCTCTGTTTAGCTGGAGCAGGAACTGTTTGCATTTATATTACAGACCGCTTCCTGTAAAATACAGGATCCCATTAGTGTTTTTGATTGCTTTCTACACCTGCAAACTAGCTTTCAGTCTCTCATACACTTTGACCACTACACCATTTGTTCATATTTTCATTTATCCTCCAGGGGTTTATGAATCAACACCACAAGGAATTTAGTTGAGGACGTACAACCTAAAGGCAAGTGACATAAATCGTTACCGTTATAGTGAAAGTTATAGTGAAAGTGTGGAGGAGGCAGTTTGCCCCTATCACTCTCCATGACCTAGGCTCTCAAGATTCATAAGAGAAGGCTCTTTGACCTATCTGATCTCATCTTTCTAGAATACTCAATTTCAGAAAAACATTTCAAAATAATATTTCTTAATTGTGCCCAACGCGCTTTAGATAAAAACTATCTCCAAGCACAGTCTTGAGCAAACGGACAAGTTCATTAAAGATTTCAGCACCTCCATTGGTAAACTTCCAAGATACTTGTTAATCAGATCCACAAAGCTTTTGTTAATTGAACTATCATTAATCTCCCTCAAATTGCTTGACTGCGAGCTTCTTAATACCCAATACAGTAAGTAATCCAAAATCAATGAGTTTATTTAAATGGTGATTGTCATTCCAACCCACTTCAAGAGGATACTGGCTCTTACCCTCTCCATTCCATATTAATGCATCCAGCATAAAATCGATAGCTGAAACAGGCAAAGAAAAAAGAAACAGAAGAGCTCACATTCCGAATGAAGTGCTACATGAAAGCAGGCAAAGGAAATTAGAATGAAGTAAAGAACAAACTAATGAAGGAAAATAAAGACAAAATATTAAAATATGCCAATGCAGGTGAGATGCAACAGATTTTGGTAGTTGATCTTTAGATCGTATCCTCACTGGGATTTAATTTGTCCATTACTGTAAACCCAAATTTTTCAGCAGGGAAGTTAATCTAATTTAACATCAATTTAAAATAAAACAAGCCAACATACCAGCTTTTACTTTCAGACACACTACAAATTTTATCAGTGTTCTTAATCTCGTGGGATAGAAAGTTTTGTAGCACTCAACACTGGCAAGGCTTGGATTGAAATTTGTAACAAATAAATCTCTATGCGGGCAAATGTACGGAAATTGAAAACTTCTCACAAAGTAAACTGAAGTTATTAACATTTAAAAATAGAAACAGACCAGCAAAAGTCCTTGTTGATGGCAACACTTAAAACTGTGGGAATGCAACCGTTGCAGACATAATTCAGAGACCTCAGAGTGTGCAATCTGCCACTCCACTTTTTTCTTCAAGGGCAGATGTTCCAAGTATCGATGGTGAAATGTACACAAGTACACTGTGCAACGTAGTACCCATTTCATGTGTGACAGTCATTATGCAATGGGGAGACAGGTGAGCAAATTACAGAACTGGAGTTTGGCTTATCTCTCTAAGATATTGAAGATTGGTTGAAGTACTGCTGAGACTTGTACAAAATAAATTCGGAAACTGATGTCCCTCCCACCATTTCCAGTCACAAGTGGCAAGAAGAAAAAACAGCTGGCAGGTG